GGGGGGGGGGAGCAAAATTACTATTACGGGAATCATGGAAGCTAGAAGGCTGAAATTTTGTGGGCATGTCCCCGTCCATGTGCTACCCGGAAATTTTAAATTCAGCTTTCCTTGCCCACGGGTAACATGCACGGTCCTGTGAAAATTTTTGCGGGTAAATTATTATCCTCGGTATCACAAAGTCTACGAAGCTGAAATTTTACAGCAATGACCTCTTGCATACGCATGACCTTGCAAATTCAAATTCAGCGTTCCCGCGCTCTCGGGTATCACTTATAGCCTCGTGAAATTTTTGGCGGGTAAATTACTATCCCGGAGATGACGGAAGGGTATTCACCTTTCAAGGTTTCAAATTCAGCTTTCATGCTCCAGTGCTTAATATATTTAACTATTTTTCAACGTTTCAACTATTTTTGCATAGACTAAGGTACAAAGCAGTGAAAATCATTAATAGGCAGTCGTTCGGTGAGCGGAATTGCACAAAACGCATGATCGCATCGGCTAGTCTGGTGCGCACTGCTATTTATTTTAACACCGTGCACTTCTACAACTCTATTCGAAAGAGCGATGAGTTTAACTTCCAAGAACGATACACTCATGTAAAAGTAATATCTCATTTATTCCTGAATCCCACTTGCGTAAAAAAAACTTTCGTATAAGATTTAGCGTCTTGCGACAAATTTATCCGTTTTTACCGTAATTTCGTCATCTTACACTAATTTTAATGCCATTCTGGTTTCTTAGCAAAACTTGGTCCCTTCACTCGCCTTTAACATACACTAATTCCATGACTTTTAGCATTTTTCCCCTCAAGACGAGCGGCTTTGGGATCCCTTCCTTCAGGTACTTATTAGTTCGAGAGGCAATTATTCGCAAACACTTGTTCACTTTTCACGGATATTGTTCCCAAAAATGAAAGTCAGCCGCTGATAAGCGCCGATCTGTACATTAAGATGTGCTACATATTTTACAAGAAAAGCTTACCGACAAATAATTGAAACGCAACACGTTGTGTATTCCCAAAGCTTTGAGCTGAAGAATAACGGGTGCGAGACTTACTCGCTGCATCTCCGGCACCGTATTCACAAGCAACTTATCGTACTCTTTTTCTGAAAAAATACTTTACGAAAATCAGCAGCTGCAAGCCTGAAAAGTTTTAAAAATAAACTGAGAAAATTACCACTGAAATTGATTAATAAACATATTAACGTGTGAAATGATTCACATACGAGTGTAAAGACGATAGCATTTCCCAGGACGAATTCGGCCTGCTCTTCCAGCACGTTGTTGCGCCGATGCTTGAGAAATAGGTAATTTCATGAGGCTTTCGAAACCATTTTCACGATTCATCGCACGCAGTTTCACAAAACCGCAATCAATCACTAAAAAAAATTACAAGTGCAAAAAATCGTATGTTGAAATAGAGAGGTCTGTAAGACCTGTTTTGAAACTACTCAAATATCAACAGTATCGGCACCACCCACAGTTATTCAAAACTGAAGAAGTAAACTAAGATTTATTAAGTTTTCACAATTTTTATCAGCATAACTTCTCACTCGCTTGCAAAAGTTAAAAATATTTGTGAGCCTTCTCAAGATCGACATTAAGCATACAAACCATAAGCAACGCCGGGTATAGTGAGCGAAGTTTCTGCAATATTTGTGGCAACAACAATTTTTCTGGTACCATGTGTTGTTGAATCGAACGCTTTCAGCTGAAGAAACATATGATTAGAAGCGGCGCAAAAGTCAGAGACAAATATTAAATCTCCCATAAAAGGCTACGAGGAAATTTATATTTCCAAAATGACCTGCTGAATTTAAAAAAAGAAATCGCCTTCAAATTTCACTGTGAGAGCCCCAAACACTTAGCAACTTTGCCAACACAATTATTTTACATAGCTTAATCCAACAGAAAAACATGGTTTACGCGATATTCTCGTTAATTTTCGTGGTGCCCAATGCGCAATAACGAATGGTGCTGCTCTCATGCTTAACACCAAAAGTTCAATTTCGTAACTAGAAAAATTAATTCCTTTCAGATTCGTTTATTCGTCTCAATGGTACATTAGTGCCTGCACATGCTACGGGTCAAATGGGTTCAACAATCATTGAAAGCTTTGCCAGCGAGTGGTCGCTGTTGGCACGTACTCGACCTATTTCTGAATGCTTTCGCCTTTACAGGGAGAGAATAGCTATGCACAAAATTTTCACCATTTTGAACAGATAATTATATGGCAATCAACTAATAATAAAAAAAACGCATAATTTTAGATCAGCAAGTGGAGCAGCAGCAAACCATACCTGCTCGGATGCCGGCAACGCACCATACATAGGCACAACCCAAAGTCTGTCCAGGTTTTTCCTTCTCATATCCTTAGCTGCTTCAATAAGACGCTTGCTAGCAGATTCCACCTGCAACATTCCCAATTCTACAAATGTGAAAAAAAAAAATTCACGCAATTACAAATGCTGTAAGCAATAACTCGCCTCGTCTTGTCCTGTAAGGAATATCAATATATCACCAGGCGGCTCGTTTTTGTGGATTTCCAAAGCGGTATCGATAGATTTCTGTACATAATCCGGCACTGGGCTATAAATAAACTGGTTTTAGGTCATAATGAGACTTTTTCCCAATTTCCTGACGAAAACATTTCCCGAACAAGAGGCCGATTTTACGGTTCCTTGAATAAACAAAATCATTTTAAAACATAATCAAAAATGCAAGCGTAGTATCAAAAATGGACAAATTATCATTTACAAACAATAATCAAAGAAATGCATTAAAACCTACTTTTTTGTGTAGTAAACGGTGACGGGATGTGTACGGCCATCCACTGAGAT